TTTCTGACTTGTAAAAGACAGCTAAAACAAAGCTACACTGCCAAACACTGCCTGGGATTATGGCTCATATGAAGCTGAGGGCCTAAGGAGCTAGGAAGACCTGGATCCAACCTCATGACAAGTAGCTGAGCCAAGCTACCCCCAGATGCATGACTGACTGTGTGATAGCCCTAATGTCACCAAGAGGTGTGAGCCCCAAGACACTTCCATAAATCTTGGCTCAGAATTGGGCACTTGGGGAGGCCTGGTAAAAGAAGTCACAAAACTCTTGACAGGGAGATGTGAGTGCAGAGAAATAGAAAAAAATCTGTCATTCAAGATGCACCTACAAAGGTCAAAAATGCATGAAAAAAATCACAGAAGAAAAGCCAAACTACAAAATCAGCATGAAATCATTGCAGTTAATTCTGAAAAGGATTTTAAAATACCTATGTATATGATCCTCAAGGAGATAAATGGTGAAATAAAATCTATTAAACTGTAATAAATTGTCAATGAAAAATAAGCAGAAATAAAATAGGTACAGTGAAAATGTGAAAGAAGCAATTAGAAATATAAAGAATGAAAAATATAGACAACAAAATATATACCTCAGTGGATGGAATACTCTAGCCTGATTTAGTAAGAAAGAAAATAATTTGAAGAGAGTGATGACGAATTCCCCAAAATGCATATAGGGGACAATTATATATAGAGAGAGAGACAATTATATATAGAGACATATATAGACAATATAGAGACAATTATATTAAAAAATAAAATAAATAAAAATAAGATATCTGGGGGTCGGCCCAGTGGCATGGTGGTTGAGTTCACATGCTCCACTTTGGCGGCCTGGGGTTCACAGGTTCGGATCTCAGGCAGAGACCTATGCACTGCTTATCAAGCCATGGTGTGGCAGGTGTCCCACATATAAAGTAAAGGAAGATGGGCACAGATGTTAGCCCAGGTCCAATCTTCCTCAGCAAAAAGAGGAGGATTGGCAACAAATTAGCTCAGAGCTAATCTTCCACAACAACAACAACAACAAAAAAAAACAAGAGATCTGAAGAATAACTCAAAAAGCTTCACCAGATAATATGAGTTTCAGAAGAAACTCTTCTGAAAAAGAAAATAGCTGAGAATTTTCCAGAAATGATGAAACGTTTCAGCCTTGTCTTTCTGATTGAAAATTTAGTCTTATTAAACAGGTTAAGTAAAAATAAATTCACTTCAAAACTCATTATAGTGAAACTGCAGAACACCAAGGAAAAGAGTATGGGAAGCTCTAAAAGTTATCAGAGTTAAAAAATAAAGATTACCTACAAAGGAATGATATTTAGACCAACAGCAGACATCTCATCAGCAGCAATAGATGTAAGAAGACAGTAGATTAACATTTTCAAAGTGCTGAGGGAAAACTGCAAATTCCCTGGTATAAAATTCTATACCCAGATAAATTACCATTCAGGAATGAGTGTGGAAAAAAATTCTAAATTGCATTGATTATATGTCTTATCCAGACAGTTGTACAGAAACTGATGATTCAACAGCTAAAAAATGTCTGATCAAATAAGAGATGGGAGAACTCCATGTGCATGCCAATGAGGAAGACCAAGATGTCAGAGTAAGCAAGGTTCACCATATGATCTGTGACCTCCTTCTACAAATAGCCTTTTTTATGCAGCACAGGGGTGACCTTCAGGTGATACTCTTACTTAGGATGCCCACCACAAAGAGGATCAGAGCGGGTTCTCCAGAATGAGGGTGATTTTGAACCAAGGAGCCACCTCAAACCAGGGAACATGGCTGTGATTGTTGACATGGGAGCTGTCATGCTCAAGTGAAACTATGAAGCAAGGAGCCATACCACAAATCCAAAGCCCTTCTCAACTTCCATCTTCCTCTCAAAGGAACCTGAAGTTCTCGGCTGAAACTCATCAGAGGGAGCACAGGATGTTCTCTAACAACTCAACTTCATCTTATAAAGTAGGACTTCTGCTTCGGGCCATGAATAACTAGTACCAGACTTGCCCTCCTGCTGTCTATAGCTAGAAAACTGGATAATGGGTAGCACAGGCTATGATCTCTCAGAAAAGAGAAACTAACGAGGTGAGCCCCATGATCACTCAGACTTTCTGCCCAGAGACACTTTCCAGAACCTAGCACAGGAGGGGACCCTAAACAGAGCACAGTCATCTTGTTGAGTTGAGGAGCAGAGACTGGCATTCAGGAGGCAGAAGCCGCCCGACTTTACAGAACAGAGTGCTGGAAAGAAGAGAGCTATGAAGAAAAAGAGCTCCAGAAATCTGTACAGAGGTTGTCCAGAGTCTCTGGCTGAATACTATGTGCACATGCAGAGGTAAGACTCCAAGGGCCAGGCAAAGAACAACCATGGGGTGCTGTAAGCGGAACAATTCCCAAAGCTGACATACGGATGGGAGATGTTGATGTTCCAACCAACCAGAGTGAGGAGACCTCATTGAACCACCCAAGGAAGCGCTGGACTTTTGTAGTAGGGCTAAACCAGCCATAGAGTTAAGGCTGCTAGACCTGCCCTAACAAAGATATAGACCTGAACTATCTAATATGGTAGCCACTAGCCACCTATGACTGTTGAAGCTTTGAAATGTGGTCAGTTCAAAACGAAAGTTCTTCTAAGTATAATTAAAATACAAACTAGATTTTGAAGATTTCAGTATGAAAAAAAGAAAGAATTTAAACTACCACATTAATAGTTTTTATATTGATTACACGTTGAAATGATAAAACTATGAGAATAATGGGTTAAATAAAATATATTATTAAAATTAAATTTTTAAAAAGAAAGCTAGTCCAGTGGTCACCAAGTAGCCAGAATGGAAAGTAGGCAGGAAAGAATATTTCAAAATCCCCATTTAGTTTTCTTACCAATAAAATCTATCCTTTGAAATATTTACTTTCTTATCCACATTCCAGTGAGTGACATATAATCTTGTCATAATAAATCATCACATAATAAATAACCATGCGTTGTTTGGGAGGGGTATTCTCGGCAGTAACAGCTTATGGAGGGAATTATTTAACTACTAAAAAGGCTTTAAAAAGGAATTAACGGGGCCAGCCCAGTGGCGTAGTGGTTAAGTTTGCGCGTTCTGCTTTGGTGGCCCAGGGTTTGCCAGTTCAGATGCGGGCAGACCTGGGTGCGGGCCTACTCACTGCTCATCAAGCTATGCTGGGGCAGCGTCCCATATAGAGAGAAAAAAGATAGGAAGATGGGCAACAGATGTTAGCACAGGGCCAATCTTCCTTAAAAAAAAAACAAGGAATTAAATTCTGCGAGATCAAAGAAAGTATTCAAGATTCATAAACAGCTTACATGTAACAGTAGTTAGAGGAAAGGAAAACAATAACAAAAAGCAAGCTCCCACCAAAAAAGAGATAACCAGAAATACCAAAAACATTATTTTAATTAAATATGTTTACTTGTATTTTGTATTTCCAAACAAGGAAAAAAAATATCTTCCATCAATGGAAGCTCTTTAGGTGGTTCTAAATATCTGCTTCAGTTTATAACTATCCTCAGTTTACTCTATATAAACATAAGTACTAGTTATTAAAATTCACATTTAATACAAACTTATCCAAGTGTTTAAATGTAGAATACGGAAGTGTTAGTGAGGAGAGGGGCTTGTTTGTCTGAGAACCTGCAGGAAATAACAGGAGCACTTCCTAAAATCTGATGGTGATTTCACCTTTGCTGTGTATAAGCTGCATTTGTAGCAAGAAAGAACATACAGGGAGTTACTGAACATTTTGAGGGGAACAGAGCAAAATAAGAATCTACCGGGGCCGGCCCTGTGGTGTAGTGGTTAAGTGTGCACGCTCTGCTGCTGGCAGCCCGGGTTTGGATCCCGGGCGTGCACCGACACAATGCTTGTCAGGCCGTGCTGTGGCGGCGTCCCACATAAAGTGGAGGAAGATGGGCAGGGATGTTAGCCCAGGGCCAGTCTTCCACAGCAAAAAGAGGAGGATTGGCATGGATGTTAGCTCAGGGCTGATCTTCCTCACGAAAAAAAAAAAAAAAATCTACCTTATCAGCTTTGATGGTAGACTTGGGTTCATGATATGCCACAAAGCTATTGTCTGTAAGAGCACTGAGTCTCTTCAAATGAGGCTAAAAGTTTCTATGGGCAGCCCTGGACTTTAGTGGATCAGGAAGTGTTTCTTTGGCAATACTTCCAAGTTTGAGGGTGTACGGATCAAGACACACATCAATGAGAAAATGGAGAGGTGGCAATGCTCTAGCAATACTTTCCCAATCAAAATGTTTTGACACCTGAGAAAGAAGTGGATTACTTTGATCCAGTAAAACGGCATACAAATATAAAATATTCAAGCATTATAATTTAATCGGCATTTTCTGTGTGAATTCAAAATTGAAATATTTCACAATGAAATGCCAATCATTTAGGCAAAGATCTTTGAGGTAGAACCTTTTAAATTCTACATTCAGATGTATACACAAGGTTTCACTAATATGCTCCTCTCGGAGTCGCAAACAAAGTTTATAAATATGGCAAAATCTCTAGAATCATCATGGAGCTGGGGAGCTAATTTTGGAGCAAAGTAGTCTTTCCAGTGATTCTGACATTGCAACAAAAGGTCACAATTTCTATTGATTCTTGGAATGGGGTCAGCCTATGGATAGACATTTGCATTCATATACACTAATTACATTCATACCTACAGAGCATGATTCCAATCTTTTGTCCTTTAAATATACTCCTGTCTGTGTACTTAACATGCCATAGCATTTACTCTTAACCATGTCTGTGCTCCCAACTAAATTTTAAACATCCTTAAAGTCAGAATCACACACAAGATCCTTAAAACCTCTAAATATATTAGCTCTACAAATCTAATAAATGAAAAAAGAAAACACACCTAGTAAAAAGCCAGGCAATATTTACAGATTACAGCTATTAAGACCTTATTCAAACATTACTTTTTCTTTTTATTGTCTATACTCAGAACTGAGCTAGTTGTTTTTCACTTTAGACTAAGATTTGTGTTTCATTTTCATTATTGGAGTTTGCATTTTCATGTTCACTAGCAATGTCCTTCTGGATTGTATCTTGAATTTTCTCTGCAAGTACACAAAGATTGGCTTTTTTGAGACTTTTAATCAAAGTGTCATATGCGCCTTTCTTCCCATGACGTTGATACCAACAACGGAGCAACTGGACTTTCTTCTCAGCAGTATTGTTGGGATAGTTGAGCTCGATCTCATCGATTTTGGCTTCTTCAATACCATTCTTCCTAGCAAATTCTTTAACTTGATTCATTTCCATTTGTTCAGCAATCATACTAATATATTTACTCAAGTCAACGTCTGAAAAATATAGAAGAGTCTCTGAAAATTTGTTTTTCTAAATAAAATTGCCATTACTGAAAGCCATGTCTATTTCTCCTTTTATAGGACTTAAGAATAAAGTTAAGTCTTAAAGATCTAAAGAGCTGATGGGGGTGTGGGGGAGGAAGCAGAAGCAACCTTGATTTCTGATCCCAACCCCTCCTATGTCCCCAGGAGTTTGCTCTATGACCTGGACAGGATACATAACATCTCTGCATCATCTTTTCTCATCTATATAATAAGAGGGCTGGAAAAGATCACCTCTAACATACCTTACAGATCTGATGATCAATGACCCACAAACCAAAAAGGCAGGCAAAAAAATTATGATCATCTTATCTCTGCACCACAGATCAAAGAACAGAACTAAATAGAATCGTGGATGTTGTTACAGAGCGAGGATAGACCAATAACAACTGAGTCTACAATTCAGATTCACCTCTATGTCAACTCAGGCAGAAGTTCTACCATACACCTAATTGCTGGTGAAGGACAATTTTCTTAAGCTTCAGAATATACTGTCTCATTGCTACCTGATTTATTTTTAACTAAAAGTATTAATTATAAATTTAAACAAACTGCCCGATAAACCCTTGATGGTAAGCAGGAAGAACTGTAAACTCAAGGAATAGCAAGACCCCACAATATGTCACTGGAATTAGCAACGTTATTTTACTCTAACATTGGCCTGTTACTCCTAAGGAAGCCATCTCTATGAAGTAAAATGATAAAAGCCTTACCTGGGAGATTCATTGGTACCATTTCCTGGGGAGAAAAAAGAAATGGAGGGTGGGAGAGAGAAAAACAGAAATATATTTAGAATATTCTAAATGTAATCTTTTAATTCTTCCTTAATACTCAAGGAAGTACAAGGGGTTGCATGAGGTATAAAATTAGCTAGACTAAGTGATTAAGAATTCTTTCACCATTCAAATTTTTATTCTGCAAGGTTCCAGTCTTGTCAGACACTAAGGTATATTGACCTATTTTTTAACACAGGCAAGGAACCTATGGAATTCATGGAATATGCTGAGATTATTTTTCATACAGACTCATGAAAATAAATATAATAAGCATAATCATTCCAAGATTTTCTTTACTGTAACTATTCTTATTTTTGACATGAAAAAATGGTTTAAGTTGAAATTATCTTGTACCATATTGACTTAAAGAACCTTAACTCCCACTGAGCCCCAGCCCCAAATGAGAAAATTGTTATCCATCAGGTGGACTGGTTTTCCTTCCCTGTGTATCTTTTGCTATTTGAAATTCTTTGATCCCATGTTCAAAAGAGATAATGGTGAAAGATAAGGTAACAAGTGGCCAGAGAGAGTTTTTTTAAGAAAGCTGATGCACATTTCAACACCTACAGTAGTTGAGGCTACACGTTCACGGTGACCATCCTTCTTATTTCTGGGACATATTTTCTTTCCTGAAAGATCAAAGAAATTTCTATCAGACTCAAGTCTCAGCCATGTAGGAAGCATGTGAGAACATACTCTCACACTAAGAGAAGTGTGAGAAGAAAGGAGAAATTCACTGAAACTTAAAGCGACAAAACACCACAAAAGACAGCATTGTCCTGATGTTGGACAATCCCACTCCACCAAGTCAAGTGCTCTAGAGATATGCCACATCTTAATTGAGCCATCCAATTACCACACACTGGCCTAGCCTGAAGCTGGCTTTTGATTTACCATATGGCCATCACCACTCCCTCTTGGACTTGAGTAGCATGGTTACAGAAGCACAGGATATGGTAAGTCAACACCAACTTGCCGTGGAGTGGCATTTTTTTTTTTTTGTAAGGAAGATCGGCCCTGAGCTAACATCTACCAATCCTCCTCTTTTTCTGCTGAGGAAGACTGGCCCTGGGCTAACATCCATGCCCATCTTCCTCCACTTTATATGGGACGCCGCCACAGCACAGTTTGACAAGCGGTGCGTCGGTGTGCGCCTGGTATCCGAACCGGCGAACCCCGGGCTGCTGCAGCGGAGCGCGCACTTAACTGCTTGCACCACCGGGCCGGCCCCTGGAGTGGCATTTTTTAATGCCCAGAAATTCAAGTATACACACTCACAAATAGCTCAAGTATACACTCAATGAGTGTATGACGTGAAGTCAGTAGGAGATGGAAGAAAAGAATCTGTAAGTCTCCAAGCACATTTACAGTGTTTAAACTTTGAGTATATATTTTTAGCTAAAAAACCTCTAAAAGCAAGGCAACCTCTTTATCTTCAGCTGAACTGGAAAAGCAACGACTTGTTTCGGCAAAGAAGGAAAAATTGGATGCCTCAGAGTATTGAAAGTTAGCATCACCCTGTGTTTTATGAATGATTTAAAGGGATTTTTCTAGAGTAATTATAAGTACACCCAATTTTGGCTTACCTGCTGACTATACGAAGCAACCATTGCATAAAATGTATTGCCACAGAATTTTAAGTTAAGGGGGAGAAATAATGAAAAAACATGGAGTTTGGACAAAGGAGAGGAGGCACAGAGAGGGATGAATTTATCTAGTGTTCCCTGCAATGCCTTTCCCAGGAAGGTCCTTGCTTCTTGTGTTCTCTTTATGCATGGCGCACTCTTGAAGAGTGAAGGATTACATCTGATTCCTGGCCAACTCAGCTGCTGCCTGGATAAAAACACCCTTGTTCATAGGGAGGATAGGGAATACTCACTGAGTGCCCCAAAACGGTTGTTCAAAAACAGTAGCTAAGGGATAATATCATCTGTTCTTATCAGCTCTCAGGGGTGCATTTAGTGGCAGAAATTTAAGAATGTAACAGAGCTCCCTACCTGGTAGGAGCTTTCTTATAGGTAGAAAATAGAAGGAATTCTTGTGAACAACTACTTCCCAAGTTATTTCAATCAGCAGTTTGAACAAAGTAAGAACTTACTGTAATATATTACTACAGCTATTATCACCGGGATCAGGAGGAGGACGAACAACCATTGTAAGTTAGACCTGGATCCTGTAGATTGGAACATTGGACATTGTATATGAAAATAAGTAAACTTTAAGATTAAACAAAGTACTCTCGAAGAATCAAAAGAGATTGGCTTTTCTTCATATTTTACAGTGGGGATGGGAGAAAGGAGAATATAATCATAAAAAGAAATAAGAACCTTCTTTGCATTTAGTGTTACTGGTTGGTGTGCAAGCCTCAATGATCCCATGTTCACACCTAGAAAAAAATATAGAGGAAATTCAAAAAGCCTGGTAGACTGATTCCTTGATTATTTTCAATGACATACTTTAATCCAGAGCCATTTTATTCATATTTGCATCTCTGGCTAACATATTCCATCAAATATTTCTAGATTAGCATCTAAAGCTGGTATAAATTCATAACATAATTTGGATGTTGGGATGAAAAATATCCAAAAGAATGACTATGTTTTAAAATACCAAGAGTTAAAGGAAGGTGATAAAATATTGATACATAGGAAAAAGGATGAAATAGATACAAAAATAATCTTAAAATTGGTAATAAACTGTGCTGTTAAAATTATAAAGTACCTAAAGCGATTTCAAAACAGTCCCATAGAAAACTAAAACAGCCAGAAAATAGCCATTGCCCATGATGCTGCTTGGGGAGCCTATGTAGCCGGCCCTTAGAGGTTTCTTCTTTTAGCATCAAGTAGTGATTAGGATATTCCAGAGTCTCCTGTAGGATTTTCCTTAGACAGCGCAGCACTAACAGATTGTCTGAATTATAGCCTGGCTCTGTCCATTACCTAACTAGGTTAGCCTGGTAAGTCACTTAATCACCATGAGCCTGTTTTCTCATCAATAACAAGGAGATAATATTAACTGCCTCAAAGCGTTATGGTGAGAAGAAAACTAAATCCATATTATGACGTAGTTAGAACTACTATTATTATTATTATTATTTTACTAAGTTATTTACTCCTCCCCCATTCCTACTTATCCTGTCATCATGAGGACACTCTCAGACACTTGGGGCTAGAAGGGAGAGGCTAGGTTAACTGCACATAATCTAAAATTTTAGTAAATAAGAGATATAAAGCATCATGTCCCTATTTTTTGAGTCTACTAGGTGAACTCCTAAAAGTTTCCCAAGATCAATTACAAGTTTAAGGAGAGGCACATGAACATAAACCTAATAGTTCATATTTATACAAAACAATATCTTACAAAGCAAAAGCTATTTTTCCAACACATATTACCCAATCTGGTCTTCACAGAAATGAGGCCAATAGGACAAGTGAATATTGTCTGCATCCTATGAGTGAGGAAACTGAAGCTCAGAGAGGTTAAGTGATCTGCTCAAACTCAGTTAATCAGCAGAAAAGTGAGATGCACAATCAGGTTTTCTATCTTTGGGTCAAAACCAAGCTCTTTAGCGTAAAAGACAAGGCCCTTAATTATTTGGCCCTGCCTCCTTCTCAGTCTTTCCTACACTCCGGTCAGGTATCCTGTTCTCCGGAGCTTCCTCTGTCTCTTTGCAGCTGCTCTTCCCCTGCCTGAAATGTCCTTTCCATTCAGGTACACCTGGGAATGCTCTTTCTTTCCTTCCTTCAAGACTCAAACCATGTGTCATATCTTCACCACTTCTCCCCAGGCAGGGTTGAAAGGTTCTCTTGTATAACTTGCAACAACTTGAGCACAAGTCTCTTCTGATGCTTTCCGCGTGGTGTTGACACAATAACCATTGCTTTTCTTGACTTTCTCTGCCTCCAGCCTGAGATCTTTGATGCCAGGAATGTGTCTTGCTCATATTGTTGGCTTAAGCAGCCACCACAGCATCAAGCACACAGGAGGTGTTCAATGAATGTTTGGAGACTGGCTGTTTGAATGAACAAATGGTTATCTAGTTGTTTGCAAGTAAAGCAAGACTCGAACCCAAATTCTTGACTCTCAGCAAGTGTTGCAACCCCTACAAAGATGTTATTTCTCAAGGTATATCTAGTGTTTTAATCAGAAAAAGACTAAAACTTACGTAGTGCAACGGTTACAGTGTTCACATGGAGAAACATTACAAAAAAAGTTTGATTTACATTTGCACTTGGTGTTCTGGGTACTGGTGCAATTTTTTTCCACTTCTTGACCTAGAAAACCAATTTGCAGACTATTAATAGGGACAAGAAAAGCTTATGTCCAGAGATTTTTGATGTCAAACAAAACTGGGAGTACTTCTGTTACATCTTAATCTGGTCCCTCAGAATAGATTGGGGTACCCATGAAAATTCAGGGCCCCAATTGGAATTATCAAGACCAACCAGATCCACAAAGGAGGAGGAGCATCCCACCCACCTCTCGGATTCCTCTGTCCTTGTATCTGAAGGCTTCTGAGCTCTTTCTGGCCATGAACAAGAGCCATTACACAAGCATAAATAAAGGCAGGAAAAAAAAATTTTCAGCAGTTTTGGTTGGAGTTGGTGAACCTTGTTCACAGGCCTCATATTTAGTCATTCCCCTATATCTGGAAGAATTGCCTAGACTCAACCCACAAATGTCTAGACCAGTGACTAGCTCAGTACCTGGTCCTGTTTCACCCCAGCAAGCCCCATCCTGTCCCTTCCTCTACAACAACATAGCACCAGAGTAGGCCCCAACTTCAAATTGCAGTATAAATCCTTCTACATGGAATACCATGATTGATCTCTTTCAATTGCTTTTAAGACACTTACCCTCTCCTTCATCACAAATGCTACATCTTCTGCATGTAGAAGAATAATGTTTCTCGTCTGTGTACTCCACCCCTTCTGAGCAGGGCACACAGACTGTTATGTTCTCATTGGCTGTGCAATAGAAACCAGTAGACAGTGCCATTAACCATTAGGTAGCTAGTAACTAAAGGTTTTTTGTGATTATTAATTGTTTTCTTTAGTTGTTCACCTGCTCATTGTTAGCTGTGCCGCTTATTTTTAAAATAAGTCATGTAAACAGGCAATATATCATCTGACTCCCACTAGGTTCCTCATAGATAACGTCTCCCTGATGCTTGGGTCACCATGATAACAGATGCCTGAGCTGTTTTTCAGAAACTAAGAGTTGACCCCTGTCTGGTTCAGGCTGGTCAAGACCACCAACCCACCAACTGGGCCTGCACAGGTGTCTGATAGGCGACTTCCTGATGTCAGGGAGCCAAAAACTCCACCCTCAGATCATGTTAACACACCATTTTGAGAACATGAGTCCTATGAAGAACCATGAAGCTTGACTACGCTTGTACAGATCATCAATGACCTCACTTCTCCTTACCTCCAATCATCTATCCACACACTTCAGACCACCCCATCCCTCTACCCCATAAATATTCCTAATCCCCATTTCTCAGGGAAGATTTGCGATTTGTACTCCTGTCTCCTTGCTTGGTTGCCTTGTGAATAAACCCTCTTTCTGCTTCAAACTTGTCATCTTGATGATTGGCATTTCACGAGATGGGCAAAACGTACCTGGTTTGGCAGCACAATCAGTAGCTCTCTTTGTGCCTGCACAAGAAAAAAATGGAGCAAGTGTGTTTGAATGCACGGTGGTCATGCAACATTAAGGGAAGTATGCAGGGATGACAATAAAACACTGCTAAAACAGGGGGAGTTAAGCTAATGATATATAAATACAACAAGGGAGAAGATTATTATAAAAATCATGTCAAGAGACAGAAATTCTTCCAAGACAAAAGCAAAAGTAACTGAAGGACTATGCCTACAGAAATAGGACAATTAACAACAGGAGCATATTTTAAAAAAGAGGTTAGAATGACCAAAAGCACTGGAAGAAATGCCTTTACCAACTTTTTTGGGGGGAGAGGAGAGGTTGGTAGGTATATATTCATGGCAGAGATGTCTGTCACTCGCCACTGAGATTACCTAAGGAATTCACCTTGCTCTGGCTTCTCATTTTACTTTCCAAAGTCCACAAATCCTGATTAGAGATGGTATAGTGTAAGGAAAAGAACATTTAAAGTTCTAAGGGCCTTGGTCAAATCTTCAGTAGCCACAAGATCTTTAACAAAGTACTTAACCTCTCTCAGCCTTAATTTCTTCATGCACATGATGGAGATAATGATACTTCTCTTGCGTTTCTATCAGAACTGCATAGGACCTACTTCATAAGCGCTCTCAGTTCTTTCTCTCCTCTTTCTTTCTATTCCTTTGCCATTAAGGGACAGAGTATGTTTTGATGGGAAGCCATGAAAATATTTATAACAAAATTTATTATCAGGTTTATTATCTTAATACACATAATTTTAAATAATATCACATTTGCTTTAATTTACTTTAAAAATATAATGAGTCATTGTATTGATATTAGTAAGCATTACACAACAACGCCTTCTCCTGGAAAATTCATTTATTTAACATGTGTTTATTAAATGTCTATTGTGTGCCAGGCACTTTGTAGGAGCTGGAGGTACTGCAGGAAATAAGATAAAGCCTTGGTCCCTAAGCATGTCACATTCTCAGGGTAGAGCAGGCAATACACAAATAAATATATGACGTCAAGTGATGCTAAGCGCTATGGGGAAACCTGGCTTAGGGCAAGGGGATAGAAAATGAAGAAGAAAGAGACAGAAAATATAAAGGGAAAGCTAAGAGAAAAGCATGACTAGTGACCCTAATTACTAATGACATAACTAATTAAAAAGAATAGGCATGGGGCTGGCCCAGTGGCGTAGCAGTTAAGTTCACATGCTATGCTTCGCTGCCTGGGGTTCGCAGGTCCAGATCCCGGGTGCGGACCGACACACTGCTTATCAAGCCATGCTGTGGCAGTGTCCCATATGAAGTAGAGGAAGATGGGCACGGATGTTAACCCAGGGCCAATCTTCCTCAGCAAAAAGAGGAGGATTGGCAATAGATGTTAGCTCAGGGCTAATCTTCCTCACACACACAAAAAAGAATAGGCAAAGTGTAACCTGCCCCACTCTCATGTACAGCAAAAATAATTTATGCTGTCTTTCCTAGGAACATGACTTTCCTAATAACCTCATAAACAAATTATAAAACTGCTTATTCCATACACAAATTATGAAATGTAAACATATATGATATTTTAGTAAACAAAGGCAATACTTTTTCAAGAGAAAAAATAAACAAATCATGGAAACTCAGAATCAAATTCAAATACAGTGCATCAGGGCTATAGAACATTGTAGTGATATGTTTAAGAAAACCCAGCCAAAGTACAATTTTATTTGCTTGCCAGTGGTATGATACTGGTTTCTAAATGAACTGGCCTCTTTACTGAATTACCTTGCAGAATGTGCCTAGCACAATGCCTATGACATGCCAGGGATACAATAAATCGCAGGTTCTTTCTTTCCTTCAATGTATACAACCTAAATTTATCAAAATATAAAAAAGGAGTGGTTGTTTTCTTGAAAATAAGATTTTAAAATATATTTGTTTCTGAGCATAATAGTACATATGCTCCTTGTAGAAAATTTGGAAAAGTTAGGAAAGTATAAAAAGCATCTATATATCAACCACTGAGATATTCATTGTTATCATTTTGGTGTATTCCTATGCATATAAATACACACATATATACATGGTGACTATATGTATCTGTAATATGTGTGTGTGCGTGCATATATATAAATATACATATATATATAATGTATGCAGTGTAGTATAGAATCCTTCTTATTGGATATGGTGATGTGACGAGGACATTTTTGATCAGTTAATCAATAATGTCAGTTCACACAGGGAATCACTGAAAAAAATACTATCAATATTTTAATTTATAAAGTATAACTGTATAATTATTTGACAATCTTGTGGTATAGAAACAAGTTATTAGAATTCCAGGTTCTTTCTCACTTAAGTCACATCCAAGACGCATCACCTATGATTTCCTGGTTTTCTTTCACTTTCTTCCTTTCTTTCCTCCTTCCTTCCTTCCTTCTTTCCTTTCTTCCTTTCTTTTTGACAGAAAGAAAACTTAAAGACACCAATAATCTGTATGAAATATTTTCAAGATTTTTTTGATCTTTCCATTTATTTTGCCCTCACCTCACATCATCAACAATTTTTTTAGCATCTCACCTTTCCTGAAATTCTTCAAAACCTTGAAACTAGTTTTCACAGAAATAAAATCTGTCTTTCCTCCATATTCATGTATCATTAATTTGTATCATATTTAGAATTAAATGACATATTAATATTATAACACCAATGAGCGTAAACAGATCTGGAAACAAGTTGAATATGGATAAGCCTGAAATTTAAAAAGGGAAGAGAAGTGCAAAGAGTATTCAGCACGTGTTGGACACCATCCAGAATATTTTAGAGATGGAGCAGAGAGACTCAGTTAATCCAGCCAGCAGATGAGTTAGGAATCCCTTAAGGGAATTTATATACGTTAAAGTTTATATCAGAAACATAACAGAAAACATCACTTTGACTGATACATAATATTCCAGCCTCTGAATACTCCAAAATTTACTTAATCAATCCTATACCACTGGGTATCATAATGAAATGTCATGCACACAATATGTTCCTTTATTTTTGACTATTTTAAGATTTTTTTCCTATAAATATATTACTGTATCAGTGGGTATAAATATTTTCAAGTTTTTGACCCATATATCCAAATTTCTTTCTTAAAAGGTTGTTAACAATTTACATTCCAATAGTGGTATACAAGAGTTCTTATCTCACAAGCTAACTCACCAGAGCTGAGATCACTTCTTAAATGAAAGTAAAACAAAGCAAAACAGAAAAAGCAAATAGACAAAAACTCTTGACAGTTTGATATGCAAAGCACATTACCTTTGTTTTAGCTTGCATTTTAGGTTTTAAAAATATGAGTAAAGATCTCAACTCAAAGGACAAATAGATGGTGTTTGGTGAGTTATAAAAAAGCCAGGAAACAATTCTTTATTCCCATTTGAGAAGAGTAAATATAAATAGGCTTAAGTATAAATGGGTTGAATTATAAGAGAGATTTTCTGTAAGGGTTATGAAAACCTGGAGAGGAGGCCGAGAGAGACTGGTAAAATCTTTGATAAACAGGACCTAGGCCTGTTTAGCAGCTTGAGTGCTAGAAGTCTGGGCGGCCAACCATGAAACCTGCTAGCGCAGTCCTTTATGGTTTTACTAATTTATTGCATAAACTCCTGTGTTGTTTTCCTTTATCTTCCTGTCTTACTTCACAATGCAGCTGAAAGAGATTCATATCTGTATGAAACAGTAGTCAACTCTACTCACGTTGAAAAAAAGTTTGCACAATTGCATTTTGCTTAGCTTCTAATTTGCTAGTGTTTGAAGGATTTCTGATCTGAGACTGGTTTGCATTTCAAAATACCAATTTTAAAAAATTGTTGCTTTTTGTCTGTTGCTTTTCTAGCTCATCTAGTAATTTAGCTGCAAAATGTAAATGTATTTTGCAGGCTTCAGTGCCAGGACAAACAGCTTTCTTAGAGACCTTCTGATTGAAGGTAAGTGCTGAAACACATCTCTTAAGAGTGGAAGTCCCTTGCTTTCAGAGCTCCACAGTTATTATGATATATTCTAATCAGCTCTGATGTGATAGCTTTATTATTCACAAATGAGTCTTCTTTTGCTACGGAAAAATAGAGGTAAATAGATAAATCCTCTCATTTCAGAGGCATATAAGTGTGATAAAGATGAATTAAACTGGTCTTGGGAAAATAAGTTCATAGTTCTTTTTCTTCCCAGTAATGCTATAATGCAGGAGAACCACATGTTATAAAAATATTTTCTTAATTATTACTATATTCTACTCCTCACCCTGATTTTCAATCTAATCACTGGATGTTTGGTGTAACATACCAGGAGGACATGGCTGACAGCAGATCTTGTCCTCACCATGCTGGACCTCCAAGCACTCAGATTTTTTCTCAATAACATTCTCACTCAATTTCAATGCCTCAGAGTCAATATCAGTCTCTTGGGTTTTAACAGTTTTCGACAATGGTCCAGCAATAGAGGTTAGTATCTGTAAAAGAAAAGCATGAAGAGACCTTTATTGACTTCTGAAAAAAAAATAAGCAACTTGGTAAACAAGTGTAAGCCACCCAAAATGGCTATATTTGCCATGCACAGCCAAAATCAACGTGCAGCTCCATCTCCCTGCTGATTTATCTCCAAAAAAGGAGCAGATCAATTGCATGACAGCCCAGACCTCAGGTTCTCCAAACTACCCTAGAAACAGCATCAAGGGATGGTAGGAGCAAGGGCTCTGGGCTCAAAAGTGAACACTGGCTCCCACTTACCAGCCTTGTGACTGTGGTAAAGTCACTTAAATTCTTGGAGTCTCCATTTCTTTATCTATAAAGTGGAAATAATCTCTTCTTCATAGGTTTGTTGTGATAATTAAATGGAATAATGCACCTAAAGCTCTTAGCACAATCCTGGCACACAATTAATAAGTGCCCTGTAAGCAGTATTATTACTAATTATTATTATCATAAAGTTCCAGTGAGGGGCAACATAGTGGAGTGAGAAAGAACATGAAATTTCAAAATTACTGTGGTTTGAATCCCAGTTCTGCTACCAATACTGGACAAGTTATATAACCTCACTGATCCTCAATTTCCTGATCTGTAAATGACAATAGTATTTTCTATCTTGACGGGTTATCATGAGGATAAAACGTGATAATTTCTCCCAAACCTGGTACTTAGCTTATAGCATGTTCTATTTCTTCTCTTGTTATACATAGCCACAGAATCAACAGTTTTGATGAAATTCTTCCTGGTTATCCAACCATACAATAAATTCAACAGGATTTTCTTCACCTTTATTCAGAAAAAATCAACTTCTCTTAATAGAGAACAAACCTTTAATCTATTTTTCGTTCCTTTTTTTCTACCATAAGTCTAATTGACATTGTGTCAAATTTATCGTAGTCAGTGGTAGACTAGAGTTCCTTGGAAAAATGAGCCCCTAAAATGTATAGAAGTATTTGGGGGTAATTTCTGGTTGATTCCTTTCTTGAGTTTCCTAAGTATTTTTTTTTTTTGTCTCCCTAAACATAAATTTAAATAATCTCTCATCTTATGTGGAATGTGTAAATTCTATTGCCAAGCATCAAGCAATTTTAAACTATTCATTCTGAGGATTTTTTCCTAAAGGTCATTTTTTGTAGTTTTCATGGCATATATTTTTTTTTCTACTTTATAGTATAGTAATAATATTGGCATCTTCTGAGTCAAGATAACTAAATGTTCTACACTTATAAATCATGGCCACAGGAGTCCCCACCTCTTCCCTTTTAGCCCTTCCCCCTTCGTCACCAAAGCCTGTATCCCCTTCAGGTCACAGGACGCCTTGGGACCTCCAAGGAAGGAGGGATGAAGGAGATGTGGTTGCCCACTTTTCCCCCTAGGATGGATATATTTAAAAATGCATTTCTAACATCCAGACTTCCAAGAGGGAAAATGATACCAAAATATCAAGAAAATATCTGACTTGTCCTGGGTCACTTGCTAGCAAAAGGTAGAGTTAGGACTTGTCTAAGTCTCCTGACTCCTATTATAGTGTTCTTTCCCCTATACCCAGGAAACAGATGAACTTATCATAGAACATAGCTTACTTTCTATATATGAACAATTCCATGTAGCAAACAACTGGAACTGATAAACAGATCAGAGAAATTATGCCTAAATATGCTGGCTTCACTATCAAACCACTGCCTTTTCAATCCAACAGACATTTCCTGAGCACCTACTAAGTGCCAGGTTCTGAGAATAAAAAGACGAGTAACATTGAGTGCAATGGAAAATGAACGTTAAGTTTCCAAAAGCTGATTTGCACATGGGCATGTTATTTGTAATACATTAATAATTTGGGGATGTTTTACCACTTTATATTTGCATGACTCTTACTTTTTAAAACACATTTGAATCTATGATGTTTTTCTAAGGCACAATGTGCAGCTTTGCTTTATTAGCATCAATTTCTCTTTCCAGGATGACAGTTCCCCACTTTTTACTTTCTCTACAGGTCATCCTGTCATCCTATTAATATTAGTCCCTCTTCTAGATCAGAGAATCAATAGCTAATGAATAGTATCTGGATTGTACTCTAGGAAATAATAATGTGATTGAAAGCATAGTAAAGCATTCATTACTAAGATGGGAAGGGCTTTCAAACGAAAATCATTCAAACTTTTTGGATCTTTATTCCATAACTACCTCATCGTTCTATATGACAGTCAGGGATTAAATATACTAACCATTTAACATTCCAGACATGGCCAGCACAATAAAATTTTTGAACCAATGTAAAAATCTCTCTGTAGCTAGAAGAAATCAGCAAATCTTGTTTGCAACAGATAACAGAAAACTGAATCTAAGCAACCAAACTGAGTAGGAGCCATTCTTTCTGTTGTCAGCCACCTTCACTGCTGTGAAGAGGGAGTTAACAGCAAGATATTATTTGCTATCCTTCTCTTTCAATTCTGGTTTCTCATCAGAAACTAAAAGAAATGACACAGATTTAAACTCAGAGATTTATAGGGATTGGGTTAGCCAAAACTGACAATTCAAAGGCACTCAAAATTGATACCCAATAGTGTGTATGTGTGTGTCTCCTATGGCTATAGGGCCCTATCCTCCTTGGTATGCTAATTTCATGCAATATTCATGGGACAGTATTATGAGCAGGTCCACACTTCCTGGTTTAAATGATCAGGTGCTCAGGGAAGCAGCACATTTTACATTTATGGATGGTTGCATTACTGCTATTCCTGGGAAACTGTGCATATACTCAACTTTCTGGAGCTGTCTGAAAGAAATGTATTTTCTAATTCATTTTGTTTTAGTGTTGAAGTTTTGGATTGGAAATCAAAATCCACTGTCCAAAATAGATTCAAAATTTGAAAAATGTGAAACCTGGAGTAGAACAGTGAAAGCACAAATATCTCCGGCTATGAAGCACAGATACCAGCACCAACCTCATCTCATACTTGATCATCCTGCTTCACAGAGTTGAATTCCTGGGACCACTTCTTATTAGTTCAGCATCAAAGAATTGTGACAAGGATAAAAAAGAAAGACGGGTCTGAAGAGCATGTTGTGACTGTTACATGATGTGATGTAAGCAGCACTCCATATAAGCTTGTAATTTTTAAAAATTTTTGCATTAACTCAAGTTTGTAGTATGCAAAGATTTAACCCAAACTTTCCCGGCAGAAATTGGGGCATTTTGACTGTGACAAGGCAGGAAACCCACAGAGAACCAAATAATTTGAATGCTCAAAATTTTTTTTTCAGAAAGGCTGAAAAGGCCAGAAAATGAGTTAAATTAAAGGTGTTCTAACATGTGGATAAACTAAGATAATGATAATCAAATGGGGAAAAAAGAGAGAGAAATAAAAATAATTTAAAATCTCCATCATAATAAAGATTAAAAGTCAGAGAAACCTAGATTGTATATTCTTCAGGGAATAATGTTAGCTAATTAATTAATTGAGCAAATACTTTGCTGAGTACCTACTATATGCCAGACAGATGCCTGGGAACAGAGCAGTGAACAGCTAAAGACTCTGGTCTCATAGAGTTTATATGTAAGTGAGGTGTATTAGTCAAGATTCTCCAGAGAAACAGGACCAATGGAGTGTGCATATGTGTGTGTGGGTGTATGTGTATAGTGGAGGTATAGAAGGTGGGCATGGGGTGTGGAGATTTTTTTTCACTCTCTAAAAAGCCATGTATGGTTGTACCTCTAAACTACTGAACAATCAAGTTTTCTTTCCATGGACGTGAACTAGGAGAAACAATAAAAGGGTAGGCAAAGGTGACATAGAAATTAAGTTCATAAGATCACAGCACAGGAAGTGACCTCTTAAAATCAGGCAGTTTAATACCTGATTTCCAGGTAGTTGAAATCCTAATTATCTAAATCTTATCATCTCATAGAAGAAGCTATGCTCCAAACTGTGTGGTGACTGGTCCACGGCATACAGCTAGCTCAAGAGATTCAGGGCTGTTACCGGCCGAATTGTGTCTCCCCACCTCCAAATTCCTATGTTGAACTCCTAACCCCCAGCATCCCAGAATGTCACCATATTTGAAGATAGAGGCTTTAAAGAGGTAATTAAGTTGAAATGAAGTCTGTAGGATATGTCCTAATCCAACATGACTGGTGTCCCTATAACAAGAGAAAATTTAGTCACAGACAAACGGAAGACGATGTGAAGACACAGGGAGAAGACCACCCACAAGTCAAGGAGAGAGGCCTGAGACAGATCCTTCCCTCATGGCCCTCAGAAGGAACAAACCTTGCTGACATCTTGATCTCAGACTTCTAGCCTCCAGAACTGTGAGAAAATAAATTTCTGTTGTTTAAGCTACCTTGTCTGTGGTACTTTGTTAACTGCAGCCACAGGAAATGAATACAAGGACTAAACGACAGCCTCTTGATTCCCTCAGATTCTGGATTTGAGGGAGCTCAGTGATGCATACGCACTTGGGATCCCTTATAGTAAGCACAAGGATTGCCCATCTTGAACTACCACTGAGCTAAATAGACAAGAGATTTCAAATGGTCTTTAGAGCTGGAATCAAAGGATCCTATCGGCCCCTGAAATCCTTCTTCTCAGTCTCACAGGCACCACTAGGTAGGTTAAAATCTCACTGTCCTCTGCAGCCGAGGACACACATTGAGCAAGAGATGAAGCTCAGCTGACTAATTCTGCCCACTTGCTTTTTAGCCTTTAATTACTTATCAACACTTGAGAAAAAAGAAATTCTAAAAAGACCACTAACAGTTCACCATTTCCAATTATATAACACATCTCTAATATATTTGTGTAAAAAATGAGGAAATAGTAATGACATTTTGTAATAGGTACATTATTGAAAAACTGAAATAAAAATAAATAAAATAAATTTTTCTATATGAAAGAGATAAGTGAAGATTCCATTTGTTCTTATTTTTTCAAAATGTGTAAATAAAAATATACAAGGTAATCTTATCCTAGTCATGTCTTCTTTCTTTCTTAAGGCCTGTTTCTGGGAAGACCAGGAGAGAGAGAGTTGCGGTAATGGGAGTAAGCGACTGGTTAGACCCCTGACTGAGCAAGCAATAAATAAAATAAAATGAGGGAACCTAGAAAATGCCATCTGGGATTAGATTTTGAGTTTAGTGCTAGATTTAGAAAAATAGTTCTCAAAACCCTGACAGACATCAGAATCATATAGTGATGCATTAAAAAAAAATAATAATGCTTAGGTCCCACCATAGACCTAAAGAATCAGGAGCTCTGAGAATGGGGCCCTCCTTATGATTGCCTTCAACAAGTACCCCAGTTATTTTGATGCTCATCACAGCTGGAGAACAACCAGGCTACAGAAAGCAAAATCTGAGATCAGTAGGTTACCATATTCACATGTGAGAAGATAAGAGTTTTACAGACTAACAGCATCTATGTTCTGCACTTGCAAATCAGAATTTGACTTTTCACGGAGAAATAATGACACTTCCAAAAAATAAGCCTGAAAATAAAAGAAATCATCTTTGGTGGAGGAAATGGAGGGCTACAAAATTCTCCACTAGAGCCCTAGAGTCCTTAAATGCCCACGGGGGCCACAGAGGTAACACAGGAGTAAACCATCCAGGTGGAATAGACAACAAAGAGTAAGAGGGGCTTGTCAAAATGGAGAGGTCTGCCTGGACCAAAGCAGCAGCCATTTGATCCAGGGGAGGGGGGGGCCATGTGGCATGTAGGCCCAGATCTTCCATTTTGCAAAAGAAACCAAAATACTCCAACATTCAAATGGTGGCAACTAATATTAAAAATATATACACACACACATACATACTGTATGTGTCAATACCACGGGGGATAAGCAAAACACGATCTGTGGCAGCGTAGGCCCAATTTTTGAAAGCAGGCCTAAACCCATACAGACACTCATGTGAAAAAGCAGTCTACTAGTATCAAGAAAGCTTTTGCGAGGATGACTAAAAACCAAAGCTCAATCTTCAGCAAGGGGAAGAGCCTTAACCTACTTGCTCTCTGTTCATTCTCTTTCTCTCTCTTTTTGCAAGATCTTTGCCCTCAGAAATCAAAAGTATTGATGTTTCTCACACCTTATATTTTTGTGGCGTTCCAGAACACAGAGGTGAATAAATCTAGAATGCTGCATGACTTGCCTAAAGGACAGCCTATCATTAACGACTCCAATGCCAAGTTTATTCTAATTTTGCAAGTTTACCCCAGTTCACAGCTTAACAAAACCTACAGTAGGCTTGCTCGCCTTGCTGGGCTGATTTCATCGGCCGATTGAATTTGTATCAGATGTGGCCTTGCTCAAAATGCATAATTCCACAATAAATTCACTATCAACCCCACTCCGTGGAACTTGGGCCAGTTGTCCACTATAGCTAAGACAGCTGTTTGTAAATGCCCATAGGTGGGAGGGGCTTGGTTGCACTAAAGTTCGTTTTGAATCAGAAGGGGAGCTGAGATCAAAGAGGAGCACTAGCTCATTTCCTTCTGGGGAAGGTGAAGTTACCAATCTTACAATGATAACTTCTTTTGAATTTGGAGTTTACTATTCATACTCTCACTTCCAAGAAAATAAAGGTAGGCAAGTAGATTGAATTATTTGTTCCTGTTTGAGACTGAATTGAAAATACTTAACTGGTGTTAGGAGTCCAACTATTTAAAAAGCTGAAGACACTTTATTTTTCTTTTTAAAGCAAAGGTCTTCCAGAAAATGAAAAGGACTTATTAGGTAGTTAAATGCTGTTTTCCCACTTCTGTGAATAGATACACAGACATAGCAAAAAGAACACAATACTATACAGTAAAGTACTTAGGATATTTCTACAAATAATTTTTTGGTAATAAGATACATAGATAGATAGATCCCAGTACATTTAGCAGTGTTTTCTTTATAATAATAAATCATAAAAAATAAGTAATAAATAAAATAATGAAAATAATCATAGTAATCCAAGGTCATTTAATAAATGTCCTCTCTATAATGCAGCCAATAAAAATTACAGGGTGAAAATTATGTAGAAATAGAAAAAAATTTGTGTACATAAAAAAGTGACAAAAAGCGGACTATAAATAGCACTGAATAAACATGCAATTACATATATGTGTAGACAAGTCTAGGAGGCTATAAGTAAAATAAAAAATGCTTGTATTGGGTGGTAAAATAATGAGTGATTTTATTTTTTCAAGAATTACTTTTTGTTTTACATC